TTTTCTGTCAATGGATAGTGGGAACATAAATAACGTGCGAGAAGCTCAACATGCATTGGTGTTGAAGGGATCATGAGCATTTTGATTTTCTTAAAGTCATCACTGGTCATGACTCATGAAATAATATGCATCTTTTTTTAACATGTTCAGTTTTAGAGATGAAAATGTGTGGAATGTATTTGTGGAGGAATCTTGTGATTGTAAGGAACTAAAGGAAGTCTCTGGCTCACTAAAGTAGTTGGGAAAATTTAAGGATTGTGTTTGGCTATTAGTAATATGAGTTGAATCTTATATGATGTAGTGATTATAAGTTATTAGGTCGACATGTATTTAAGTCTGTAATTGTTTTAATGTATTGTCATTATGCTTATGCTGAAAGTTTGAAACAATCCTTTAGCACTTGTAACAACTATACCAGCATCAAGGTGCTTTGTGAAAACATCTTCGTGATGGTTTTGTTTTCAGGATGAAGGAGAGGGAGCACTGGAGCCTGAGGGTGAAGGTGAAGTAGAGGGCCAGGGGGAGGTAGAGGTAGAGAGTGATGCTGAGCAGCGTGATGTTAACCCTGATCCAGGAGAAAGTGAGGGCGAAAGAGAACAAAGTTCCCAAGAAGTAGAAATTGGTGATCAAAGAGAAGAAAGTGATGGAAAATATACGGACACTGATGAAAAAGAAGAGTTGACAAGCAGGAGACGAAATTTGATTGAAAGTGGGTCTGAGAGGTCTGAGGAAAACCATTACCCTGACAATGAAGATGACGAGGTTAATCAGGCTAGAAGTCCGAGGTAACTCTCTCTCTCTCTCACACATACAAATATACATGTGTGCTCAGTGAATTTTAAAGAGCATATCTGAAGCAACATTTTTTCCTTCTCGTTTATCTTAGTGGATCTTCATGGCAATGCGCTGGCATCAAGCACTGTGCATATTTTTGTTTCCAGAGAAACAAAAAAACTTACTGTATTTTGACTAGGGGGAAACTTGATTTTAAACTTTAGATCCCCTGACGAGGAGAAGGACCATACTCACATCGCACACTCTGCTGTTCGTAATGTATTTGGTGACTCTGATGAAGAAGAACCAACAGATTACGCTGTTCAAAATGACATTGAGCATGAACCAAATGTGAGTACCAATTTGAAAAACAGTATTCTTAAATCTTTCGTTTGTTGAGGCTGTTGAAGAGTCATAAAATATAAAATGATTTATACGTGTGTTCCTGCCTTAGAGATCCCCATTGGAAGAGGAAGGGAGCTATGGAAAGAGTCCAAGACTAGAGGATGTAGTGGCTGATGAAGATGCTAGATATGATTCAGAAGAGGACAATATTGAGGCTAAACCTAGAGAGAAACCGGTTGGCCCCCCATTGGAACTAGAGATTCCACTGCGTCCACCTCCTGCTCATCCAGAAAAGGTTTGAATCCTTATTCTACATGGGGGAATCACTTTTAAATATTAAATCTTTTGCTTTGTGTATGAGCATCTAAGACCACATTAGATGGATGCAATCTATTTTTTGTAAAAGTGCATTTAAGTTAAAGATGCTAAATTGGTTATTATTTATGCTCTATCGTTTTCCATTCCTTCATCTTCTTTATTTCACTTAGGCACTTTTTGAGATACTTCGGAATTACTTGACTGCTATTGTTTTTACTCACTATTGGATTATGAAATAAGAAAAGTCATAACTTTTTCAATTTTTTTGACTTGGTGGAACATTTTTATATTCGAATGTTATCCTTATGCAGATGAACATGATCAAAGTTTCAAATATTATGGGCATTGACCCCAAACCGTTTGATCCAAAGACATATGTGGAGGAGGATACATTTGTGACAGATGAATCAGGATCTAAGAAGCGTATACGTTTGGAGAACAATATTGTGCGATGGAGGAGAGTTAGAAATCCAGATGGCACAACATCGGTAAGTAATTATCTTTGTTCTATTCTGTTATGCATGCAAATTGGTGCCTTTTTTTCAGATTAGGAAAATTTTGTGTATGTTTGTGTGTATGAACCTTAACATTTCGATTTATCCTATATGTTGTTGGGTTTTTCAAACTCTCTCTGCTCATTTTGAAAGCCAATATAAGTTCAACTTCACCATAATACCCATTTTGTGCTGCACTGTTTACAAGTTTGTTTTCATACATCATGCACTCAGTAGTGTTTAACCTATTGTTTCCTATGATTTGTAGTGTGAAAGCAATGCACGATTTGTGAGATGGTCTGATGGCAGTTTGCAGTTGTTAATTGGGAATGAAGTTCTAGATATATCCGTGCAAGAAGCACAGCATGATCAAGCACACCTATATCTCAGGCACGAAAAGGTGAAATTCCTAAATCTGTTGGGTGTGTGCGTGTGTGTATGTCATTCATGAATATATGCATGGCATACTCTGTTTGCAACATAAATCCAGAAAAGATTCCAAAAATGTTTGAAGATATTTCTGAACTGCCAACTTAGAAATTGCTCATATTATGTTCTAGAAAAACTTGGTATCCAAGATAATTTGTTCCTAATTACCTGTGCTTTGTACTTGCAGGGAATTCTCCAATCACAAGGAAGGGTTCTGAAGAAGATGAGGTTTATGCCATCGTCCTTATCATCAAATTCACATCGACTGTTAACTGCCCTGGTTGATTCTCGACATAAAAAAGTGTACAAGGTTAAGAATTGTGTTACTGACATCGATCCTGAGAGAGAAAAGGAGGAGAAAGAAAGGGTAATTTGTTTCATATTGTAGTTGTTTCTGTTTTGTATGTTGTGTCACGGAACATCTAGATTGATTTTTTTCGTTTGGTTTGTAGGCTGAAAGTCAAACAATCAGAGCTAATTTACTTCTTAATCGGAAGGGGGAGAAGGTCAGTCGAAAGTATACACCGACTGTGGACAGGAGGCGCCAACTTTCACCTGGTTTCTTGGAAGATGCTCTTGATGAGGTATGTTATTGATATAGGGGTTGGGGGTGGGGGTGGAGAGTGGACAGGATGGGAATTCCTTTGTGTTTTCGTCAATTCAAGGTTTTGTGTTCTTTTGCAGTACACTCAAATGATTAGATTGGTAGTTTTTCAGTTTATGCCATTTGAAGATTCTCATTTTTTCGTTCTTTTTGTGGATGTGGAAGGCCCATTAATAATTCTCTAGTACATAACTGGAATTTTTTGTTTATTTACCTATCTATTCAGACCCAAGTTAGGTCTCTTAGTTGATCATTTTGGTGTTCAGGATGATGAACCAGATTATTATGAGTCTCGTCATTCTCGCCGCCATATAGAGGAGGATTTGGAAATGGAAGCCCGAGCAGAGAAACGCATTTTGAATGCTAAGAAGGTCGTATAACTTGAGCTTTACAATTTTGCCTTATAGTATATCGTTTCTGCTAAACTTGTTGACTCTTGGAATGTTACTCACAGGGAACTAAAGACATCCCTCGCAAGTCATCCTTGCCAACTGCCAAATCATCTCGGCGTTCAATGGATTTCTCCGATAGTGAGAGAGGCGAGTCTGAGTATGAAACTGATGGGGAAGAAGATGAGATATCTCCTCCACGTAAGAGGGCTGAGGATCCAGAGCCAGAATATGAAGATGAGGAGGAAGAAGAAGAAGAAGAAGAACACGAAGAAGCCGAAGTTAATGAAGCATCCGATGAGGAGGAGGCTGAGGTATGTCCCTCTTCTTTTGAGTAGAAATGTTTTTGTATTATAATTTTCAGCATGTGGATCTGTTATATTGTTACCATAAAAATAGACTTGGAAAGTGTTGCATCACGAAGATATAAAATAGGAAGTATATGGCTCCATAATTCTTTCTTCTGAGTTGGCTTGAGAACATTTACGATCAATTAACCATTCAGTTTTCTATTGAACCTACTTGCTTGTAATTCTTCAAACGTAGGGCGATTTTACTTATGTCAAGAATTAGTACGCTTAGTATGTTCTAGTACGCTTATTACGATTTAATATTTATTATTTCTTGGATATACTTGTAGGAACCTAAGCCAAAGGCTAGGGACTCTGGACAGAGTCACAAGCGCAAGGAAATCGAGTCAGATGAAGACTCTCCTCCTAGGAAGGCTGCACCACATCGCAGAATGGCAGTTGTTTATGATAGTGATGAGGACTAAAATCTTCATTTGGATTTTTGCATGTGAGTACTTCAGACTATAAGGTACTTGGTTGTTGTTTGTTCTTTTCTTTGGGGACATAATAGATATGTTAAAGTCAGTTCTTTTTTGTCCGACGTTGAGAAAGATGTCATGGATTTTGAGTTTTGCTCTTGAATTTCTATCATTATTTTGCAGAAAGCTTGGCCGCGCTCATCCTGGGGATTGACCGGAGACAAGATCAAATGCCATGGGTTCAAATGATAGATATGAACCGTTCGTTGCAACTGTCTTTGCATCCAAACTGCCATGGGGTTCATATCTATTTTTCTTCAAATTTTGGCTTTGGTGTTAGAACTCTGTTATCTGTCTTTGTGTATATATATACCAACAAGTAGTTTGTTGATTGTTATATTGGGAAATTGATACTGAAACTCGGGAGATCTGTTATACAGTTTTTGCCCCTTGAAATCTACAATCTTATTGATAGCAAATTAACCCACAAGTTTGATTTCTAAGTTGAAATATTTCTTCTGATTACGTACTTTGAATTTGTTTGGTTGATGAGAAGCTATACAATTCCATTTGGGCTGAAAAAATAAATAATTTTTGTAGGGTTTTCAATTTCTATTTTAATTTTAGTCTTCGAATTGAAAGCCTAACACAAAACAACTAAAGAAACAAATCTTTCATCTTCTCTTATCCTATCCGCCCGTTGGACCTAATAATTTCTGGCATGGTCACGTGTTAGGCCACAGGACTCAATAATTTATCGCATTAAGAACAATACGGGAAGGTTATGAGTAATAAGATTAAAAGATTAAAATCTAATTTCTTATTTATTTATTTTAAAAATTAAATAAATATTCAAGTATAATTACTTTTTCAAAGTTGAAATAATGAAAATTGAATAGAGTTTTTGAGTTTTTAATTAGCAACAAATTTCTTTTGGGTTTTTGATATGATAGGTGATTGGAACGGGCGGAAGCTACTGGATAGATAGGCGGTGCGTTTCGAAGCAAAAGGCTTTAATAGCATTGCGATTTTTTTATGAACGAAGATTCTGGAAATTACGAAAAGACCATGAAAGCTTCCCGCTTCGTCTAGTACATTCTGGATGCTGTCGTGTCGGCCAGATGCGTCTCATCTCCCCTCTCCTTAAAACTCACTCTCCCGCACTCCCAAGCTCCATTCAGACAAGAACACAGAATCGGCTCTGTTTTTGCTAAACCGAAACAAAAGAAAGCAAAGCAATCAAGCACATAGAAGATCAAAGTTGCCAAAAGCCATTCCACAATACCCACCATTGTCATAGAAAGTCGCAGCTTCAGCTTCCATCTTACAAGCACAAGGTATGTGGTGCAAGACTCTTCCTTTTCTCGTTTCTCTCTCTCTCTTTTAATCCATGAATTTTAGACTTTCTTTCAGTTCGGTTCTCGTTTTTGTGTTGAACCATTTAATTTAATATGCTTGTAGAGCAAAGCCTCTGTCTTTTTTTGAATTTTAGCGAAATAAGTTGTTGATCTATGATTGTGTTTAGGTTTTTAATTTTAGCCTTGCTATATTGTTAGGTTGAAATTATTGTGGTTTAGCCTAACAATGCATTATGCATGCATCCTTGACTAAATTTTCAGAAACCCAGAAAAAAGCTTTAATTTTTTAATTTTTTAATTTTTTTAATTTGGCTTGCGAAAGACATTGTTTTATGTATTGAAGAAAACAATTTTAATGATTCATGAATTTCGTGCCATGCATGTTGTTTAGGATAAAGCGTTGTGCAGCTTTTGATCCTGACTTTTCTTTTTATGAAACTTTTGATCCTGGTTTTGCATATGCATTAATGTTGTTTTTTTGTTTTGTTTGGTAGTGTTTCTTGCGTATCAATTAACTGGTGAAGGAAATGAACCCTGACAAGTTCACCCGCAAGACCAATGAGTCTCTTTCCGGGGCTCATGAGCTGGCTACGGATGCTGGCCATGCGCAATTCACTCCACTCCACCTTGCGTCCGCGTTGATTTCTGACCCAGATGGCATTTTCAAGCAAGCAATTGCCAACGCTAGTGGCAATGCAGAGGCTCCACGGGCCGTGGAGAGAGTGTTCAATCAGGCGCTCAAGAAGCTTCCATCTCAGTCCCCTCCCCCGGAAGAAATCCCAGCCAGCACGACTCTCATCAAAGTGATTCGAAGGGCTCAGGCGGCGCAGAAGGCAAAAGGGGACACTCACTTGGCTGTTGATCAGTTGATTATTGGGCTTCTTGAGGATTCCCAGATTGGGGATTTGTTGAAAGAAGCTGGCATTGCCCCGGCCAGAGTGAAATCGGAAGTCGAAAAGCTTCGTGGGGAGGGGAAGAAGGTGGACAATGCCCATGGGGACACCACTTTTCAGGCATTGAAGACTTATGGACGAGATCTTGTTGAGGAGGCCGAGAAGCTTGACCCGGTTATTGGCCGAGATGAGGAGATAAGGAGGGTGGTTCGGATTCTCTCAAGGAGGACTAAGAACAACCCAGTTCTAATTGGAGAGCCAGGAGTTGGAAAAACTGCTGTGGTTGAAGGCTTGGCTCAGAGGATACTGAGAGGAGACGTTCCTAGTAATCTAGCGGATGTGAGGCTCATAGCATTGGACATGGGTGCTTTGGTGGCGGGGGCAAAGTATAGAGGAGAGTTTGAGGAGAGGTTGAAGGCTGTTTTGAAGGAAGTGGAAGAGGCTGAGGGGAAGGTGATTCTGTTCATTGATGAAATTCACCTTGTTCTTGGTGCTGGTAGAACAGAGGGGTCGATGGATGCGGCCAACCTCTTAAAGCCAATGCTTGCTAGAGGTCAGCTCAGGTGCATTGGTGCAACAACTCTTGAGGAGTACAGAAAATATGTGGAGAAGGATGCTGCATTTGAGAGAAGGTTCCAACAGGTTTATGTGGCTGAGCCTAGCGTTCCAGACACAATTAGTATCCTTCGAGGGTTAAAAGAGAGATATGAAGGTCACCATGGTGTGCGAATTCTGGACAGAGCTCTGGTTGTTGCTGCACAGCTTTCAAGTCGATACATCACCGGTATGGACTCAATTAGCTAATGGATGTATAGTTTCTTGTTTTATATTTATATAAACTGAAGCTTTGGCTGTGTTGCTTAAATTTTCTTGGCATTGAATTTCTCTTTTCTTTTTATGTATAGGGCGCCAACTCCCTGACAAGGCAATTGATCTAGTTGACGAAGCCTGTGCAAATGTGAGAGTCCAGCTTGATAGTCAACCTGAAGAAATTGATAACCTCGAAAGAAAGAGAATGCAGCTGGAAGTTGAGCTTCATGCACTTGAGAAAGAAAAGGACAAGGCTAGCAAAGCTCGTCTGGTTGAAGTGAGTGCTAGCTCTCCAATCTATTATTAGAGAATGTTTGTCTTCTCCTCAGTTGCAGATTCTGTTTTTAGCGAAGTTGTTCTTGTTCTTCTGTTGGCTCTAACATTTGATTCACAGGTGCGAAAAGAGCTTGATGACTTGAGAGACAAGCTTCAGCCCCTGATGATGAAGTATAGAAAGGAGAAGGAAAGGATTGACGAGCTTCGAAGGCTTAAGCAAAAGCGCGAAGAGCTCTTAATCGCTTTAGCAGAGGCTGAAAGAAGATATGATTTAGCCAGGGTTGCTGACTTGCGGTATGGGGCTATTCAGGATGTGGAATCTTCTATTGCAAAACTTGAAGGTAGTACCGATGAAAATCTGATACTGACAGAGACGGTTGGACCGGACCAAATTGCAGAGGTTGTAAGTCGCTGGACAGGCATACCTGTCACAAGGCTTGGCCAGAATGAGAAAGATAGGTTAATTGGGCTTGCTGAGAGGTTGCATAGGAGAGTAGTGGGGCAAAACCAGGCAGTTGATGCTGTTGCAGAGGCTGTTTTGAGGTCAAGAGCTGGCCTAGGAAGACCCCAACAGCCAACTGGTTCATTCCTTTTCTTGGGTCCAACTGGGGTCGGTAAAACTGAGCTTGCAAAGGCTCTTGCTGAGCAACTCTTTGATGATGAAAATCTGATTGTGAGAATTGACATGTCTGAGTACATGGAGCAGCACTCTGTTTCACGCTTAATTGGTGCTCCACCTGGGTAAGTGCATTTGCAGTTTTTCTTCATACATATGTTTCCTGAATTTAGCATTATAAAATCTGACTCATTCACATTTTACAGGTATGTTGGTCATGAGGAAGGTGGGCAACTCACAGAGGCCGTGAGGCGGAGGCCTTACAGTGTCTTATTGTTTGATGAAGTGGAGAAAGCACACACAGCTGTTTTCAATACTCTCTTGCAAGTGTTGGATGACGGAAGGTTAACTGATGGCCAAGGTCGTACTGTCGACTTCAGGAATACGGTGATTATTATGACTTCAAACCTGGGAGCAGAGCATCTCTTATCTGGTTTAATGGGCAACTGTACAATGCAAGATGCTCGTGATCGAGTTATGCAAGAGGTATCTTCAGTGATCCCTAACGGTGATTTGGCATTCTTATAGAATTGCTTGTTTGGTACGGTACTTAACTTGCGTTTTGGTACTTGGACAGGTGAAAAGGCACTTTAGGCCTGAGTTGCTGAATCGGCTTGATGAGATTGTTGTGTTCGATCCTCTTTCACGTGACCAACTGAGGAAGGTTGCTAGGTTGCAAATGAAGGATGTTGCAGTCAGACTGGCTGAGAGGGGAATTGCTTTGGCAGTGACTGATGCAGCATTGGATTATATTCTGGATGAGAGTTATGATCCAGTGAGTATCTCTGCACCGAACTGTATTTTGCAAATCCAAATTTATGGACTGCTCTACTTCTGCATGAAATACTAAACGATTATTTCTTTCTTCCAATTTCCAGGTTTATGGTGCTAGACCAATCAGGAGATGGCTTGAGAAGAGGGTGGTGACAGAGTTGTCAAGAATGCTGGTGAGAGAAGAGATTGATGAGAACTCAACTGTGTATATAGATGCAGGGCCAACAGGAAGCGGGTTGGTGTATCGGGTTGAGAAGAATGGAGGGCTTGTTAATGCTGTCACGGGCCAAAAGTCAGATGTATTGATCCAACTTCCCAACGGGCCAAGGTCTGATGCTGATCATGCAGTTAAGAGGATAAAGATTCAGGAAATGGATGAGGATCATGACATGGATGAGTAGACTTCTTTTTGTCTTTTAACTTTTGACAAAAGGCAGCTATACTTAATGCTATGGTCCCAAGTGTTTGAATAGTGTTTAACCACTTGTTCCCTTGTAATGGGTTGTTTTATATAATCAAAAGTTTGTGTTTTCTTTTGTTTAATTTATCTTCAAGGATTATTCATATCTGTCTCAAAGACATGCTACTTTTACACTTCCATGAAATATGACAAGTCAAACAGATGGCTCTGTCGTTTAAGGTCTCCAGCCCCACAGCTTCATTCAGAAGAGTCAAAACGACTCGACTCTGTTTCGGTTTTTGCACAAAGAAGAAAAGAAAGAAACAGAGAGAAATCAAAATCAAAGTCGCCAAACGCAATTGTTTTTAGAGATGTCTCTGTTTCAGTTTGTGTTAGCTCCTGTGTTTCTTTGTTTCTTTCTCTTCTAATTTCGGGGTTGAAGACTCTGAATCCATCATCCATGGCTTTTAGGGGGTAAAATTATTTTATCTTGTCCGTTTTTTTCAATTTGTAATAAGAGAATTCAAGCAGTTGTGAAATTTGGAACATCAGAAACATGACTTTTTTTAATGTTGGTTTTTATATCCTTATGTATAGTTGAATTGAAGCTTTAATCAGAATGCGTAATGAGGAGGAGATAATAAAGGAGGGTAGTTGAATTGAGATTCTCTCAAAGAGAAGTAAGAAGAACCCAATTCTAAATGGAGAACTGCTGTGTAGTTAAAGACTTAGCTCAGAAGATGCATGCCCCCTATGATGGGATGGGGGGCTCAGAGAGTCATAGGCATTGGATATGGGGGGAGTTTGATGTTTGACAAAATGTCTGAACAAGTGAGTAGTTAGCTAGCTCCTGTGCTACACAGTAACGCGGGACGTGGGACGTGGGACGTGGGTGATCGTAAACAGGCTGATACATTTGATTTGATTTCGGGGGTTACTTGCATTGTATTCAAGTTAAATTCAAAGGTTACGTGACATATACATAAAGAGACAGAGTTAAGTTGTTACAGTAATGTTAAGAGATACTTAGTCATATACTCAATCGTCGGTGATTGTAAACAAGTTAATACATTTGATTTGATTTTGGGGGGTTAGTTGCATTGCATTGCATTCAAGTTAAATTCAAAGGTTCTGCGACAGACACATAAAGAGACATAATTAACTTGTTGCAACTTGCAGTAACGTTAAGAGATATTTAGTCACATACCCAATCTTAGCACAAAAATATAAATAAACCTTACACCCTTTAATTTTAATAAACAAACCCAAAAGCACTCAAAAAATAACAACTAGCTTTATTTAATTTAATTTTGATTATTAAATTACTTTGATGCTCTATTGAGTGTTTTGAGCTTTTTTTTATGAGCTTTTGGGGTTGGTCTTGTTTTAAGAAATATATGACATTTTTGTAATTTATAAGAAGTTAAAAGTCTCTTTGTTATGTTTGTAATCCGGCAACTTCATGCTTCTTCTTTTTAATTTTCTATTTTCTTATTGGCTTTTTAAAGCAAATGTCAAACTAGTATTTTATACGGAAATACCACTATGACTATATTAAATGTATTTTTCCCTCTATGAGTTCAATTCAATATGGACAAATCCAAGGTATGATTCACAAATCTAAATTAAAAAGCCAAATTCTTTGTTTGTAATTTGGAAGAAGTAGGGCCTTGTGAATTTCCGTGCACAATCAAAATTTCAAGCTACCAATTCCAATTGCTATACACGTGTCAACCCAACTTCCCCAATGAATTATGTGCATGTGTATATTTTTTTCATCAGTTTTTGGTTCAGACCAAGATTTGAACACATAAAGTCGATGGAGTCTAGCTATATGTATAATATTGGATCCTTTAATTACCTACAAATCAAAGTGAACGTCAGTATTTGAGTACCTAGAAAGAAGAGTGTCGTATATAGGAATCGCTATCTCATTCTCACCTAATTAATATAAAGTAAGTGAATATATGACGTGAACGTGAAAACATTGAAGGTAAGCAAAGGATAGGACCTTTGGGAGAGAAACTGTTGGTATTTTCGACCAATAACATAACAATACGTCTTGACCTTTAAGAGTATTTCCGACTGATATGTCAAAAGTGCCACATAGACATTTAACGATTAGAAATAATATCTCACATTACTCCAACTGAATTGTCAAAGCTGATATAGAATGAGAGCTGGAGATTCAGCCGTTATTTTTGACATTCCAAAAACAATATGTTAAATGAATATTTTATTATTTTTTAAAGACTTCTAAATATTACTTTCATTTTTTATTTTAATATTTATTTTGAATAATTTGACTGTTAATAATTGAACTTTTGTAAAGATTCCATGAACTTATATGGGTTGGAGATGAAGCCACTTGCCTTCATCTCAATCTGACTTTAAGTCACGGATTATTGATACGGAACTTAGTGTGCATAGATACGGGTTTATTGACATTGTGCAGCCACCTCACCTCACATACAAGAGCTTTTGGTTCTCTTTTCTTGACGTAGCTTAAATTCGTAAGGCCAAAATTGTTCGCGTATGCAGGAAGAATATCAAATTGTTCACACTAAATAGATTCGGGTTGAAATATGTAATTTGTATGTAAACCAGCTAATACAACTATCATATCATTGTAACTTCTTAGGTAGGTAGGTAGCTGCCTAAGCTATCATTATCATATGTACAAATTTACTTAATATTAATTGATGACTTAATTTACCATTTTGTCCCCCTCAGAAAGAGATAAATGATGCTGATCATGACATGGATGAGTAAACTTCTTTTTGTCTTTTGGACCTAATCAACTATACTTAACCACTTGTTCCCTTATAATTCAGAAGAGTCAAAACTACTCGACTCTGTTTCGAAGAAAAGAAAGAAACAGAGAGAAATCAAAATCAAAATCGCCAAACGCAATTGTTTTTAGAGATGTCTCTCTTTCAGTTTGTGTTAGCTCCTGTGTTTCCTGGTTTCTTTCTCTTCTAATTTCGGGGTTGAAGACTCTGAATCCATCATCCATGGCTTTTAGGGGGTGAAATTATTTTACCTTGTCAGTTTTTTTCAATTTGTAATAAGAGAATTCAAGCAGTTGTGAAATTTGGAACGTCAGAAACATGACTTTTTTTAATGTTGGTTTTAATCAGAATGCGTAATGAGGAGGAGATAATAAAGGAGGGTTGAGACTCTCTGGAAGAGGAGAAGTAAGAAAAACCCAATTATAAATGGAGAACTGCTGTGTAGTTGAAGACTCAGCTCAGAAGATGCATGCCCCCTATGATGGGATGGGAGGCTCAGAGAGTCATAGGCATTGGATATGGGGGGAGTTTGATGTTTGAGAATATGTTGAAGGCCGTTTTGAAAGATGTGGAAGAGGCTGATTCTATTCAGCTTGTTCTAGGTGCTGGTAGAATACAAGAGAAGACAGAAGAGTCCATGTTTATGAATGCATGCATGCAGCCAAGCCAAGAGAGCACCATCTCCAACCCACTATTATAATGTGCCACCATACCATTTAGAGCTCGGCTGGGATTATAGGTTTCTAATCAAGTTGATGTAGACAAGTTTAACGTGTAGGTTTTGCTTTCTCAGTTTTAATTAGGTAGCAAAATATCTGAACCAGTGAGTAGTTAGCTAGCTCTTCTAGACTACAGGGACGTGGGTGATTGTAAACAAGCTGATACATTTGATTTGATTTCGGGGGGTTAGTTGCATTGCATTGCATTCGAGTTAAATTCAAAGGTTCCGTGACCGACACATAGAGAGACAAAGTTAACTTGTTGCAGTAACGTTAATGCTCCGTTTGAATGAAGGAATTGCAAATTACATAGAATTCTAAAATGACGGAATTTAGATTTCCGTCATTTCAATTTCTGGCAATTGAAAATTTCACTGTTTGTATTTATATATGTCAAATTTTGTAAATGACAGAAATTCAAAATTTCAATGTTTGAATAGCTCATGTAAATTGTAAATGACAAAAATTAAATATTTCGATATCTTGGTCTTTCTTCCGCCGACACTATTACTGAAATGTGGGTTCCATCAAGTGCACCAAGACAATTTCAAACATGAAATATAAAACCGTATAAGTATGAAACTTAAGATAACTAGTTGAAAAATAAAATAAAAATCCTTTTTTTTTTCTTCTAGTTATATAAGTACCTCAAACCACTACCATTTGCTTCTTTCGGAACTCCCAACCTTGTGAATTTTACGTATTCTTCACTAATTCTCATCATTACATATAAGACTCTGTTAAATTGCTGACTAATTCTTTCGATTGAATGGTAATAGTCAAAACCAATGACTCTGTATTTCAAGTTTTGAGCAATTCTTTTCAAAAATATTGCTACAAATTCTTCAATTGAAATATTTCTTGTTCAAACCAACCCACCATTTTCTTCTAAAATTCTACATAATAACTTTTTTAATGCACTTTTGCTAATTCAGAAATTGATCAATACAATCAACTTCTTTTCCATTTTACATACGGTTCGAGTAAAATCACAGTTCTTCATCCCAATCATGTTAAGGCTCTTTAACATGAAAATTATCATAATACAATTTTATTATTGTAACCATAAAAGAGATCATTGTACAAACAATAACTGTGAAATGAATTTTGGCGTTGTTTTTCTTTTTTTTAATGAAAAATTTGGCGTTGTTTTTTTTTATGTAAGTTTTGGCACACTAGAAAATATGAATTCGGTCACTATGGAAATTGTGAAATGACGCCTATTTTGGTGGAAATTAAACTCGGGAATTTAATATCTCAATTTTTCACGATTTTTCCCACGCATCATTTAATAAATTCTGCACATCATTTTATATATAGAGTTTTTCAGTTAAGGAATCTCGTCGACATTGTATTTTTATAATCCGATATATATATATATATATCTGGAAGAAGTAGGGCCTTGAGAATTTCCGTGCACAATCAAAATTTCAAGCTACCAATTCCAATTGCTATACACGTGTCAACCCAACTTCCCTAATGAATTATGTGCATGTGTATATTCTTTTTCATCAGTTTTTGGT